ATATCACTTTCACTATCACCCCATTGTTCATCAATTTGCTCAGCGGACACCAGTAACGTCTCCATTTGTCCCTGTCATGTGCTAGTGTAGCCCGATGACATATTGGGGGCTCCTTCAGGGTGAGGGGAATGAGGACCATCATTGTTACTGTTTTTGACATATTGAATACACCACTGGTAGCTTGCCAGGCTCTGCCGTGAGATAGACAGATATTAAAAAATAAAAAAAAATTCACATTCTATTTAAACTAAGTATAAAGTAGTTGAAAAGTTTAGGTAACGAGCAGAGATATTTTCTAAGAAAAAAATATATGGAAGATGCAAGTAATAGAATTCCCAGACAATTGAGTAATGGCATAAATCTAGCCAAATATGAGAATCAAAAGTGCTTTGTTGATGCAAGTTTCAAAGATGATTCAAGATGCAAGAGCTGAATGAAACTTTTTGAGGAAAGATATTAATGGATTTTTGTTCTTTATTTTGGATGTTACTGATTTAATGTGATTGGAATAGAAGTGTAAAAATACATGTAAATAAATTTAAAATGTACTGTTTGATATATAATTATGAATAAATTAGGTATAACAACTTAATTTTTTTGCATGTGGCTTTGACTGTTGCATATATTTAAAGTTAAAAACTAAGTTCTTAACTAAGTTATTGAAGTTAGTTAAGTTCAAAACTAAGTTATTGAAGCTGTAAGATTTATTTTTTGTGTGAATTAATTTTTATGAAAAATGGAGAAGAAGGAAATTGTGAGCCTATTAGAGAAGCAAACAGTCCAATTCCATAATCTTAAAAATTGGCCAGGGTCCAGAGATAATGGCCAGAGGGAGCCCGAGTCATGCCTGAGTCACCCTTAAGGCACCCCTGGTGTATTAAAAACATGATTTTTGAATTAGAAAAGATCCTAGAACCACCTAGGACAAGCATGAGCAGAATTACTTTCTTTCTCTAGAGTATATAGAATTACAGTTGATATCAAAGGGTGAAATAGGAATGCTTAGGGTGAGGGCCAGGATGAGAATTCAGTGAAAAATCTCTGACACAATGTTATATTATAGGAACTTGTTAGTTTGAACTTTACAAAGTAAAAAGATTGCTGTGTAGGCATTTACATGATTCATAAACCTTCTAGCTCCTTCTTCTGAACATTTAGGTGATGAAATATATGACTTATGTGATTAAGAATACTATTTTCTTAGGAATTAGTTAATCTTTTGGCTCACCTGGTGTCTATATATATATATATATATATATATATATATATATATATATATCCATCCACTGAAATCATGTTGATGTTAATATTTCACAAGTGCTATTAATTTATGCATACTTCATGTGGCCATAGAAAATTTTTAAGTTTGTCTGAAAAGCTTTAAATATATTGCTATTTTATAGAAGAGGACACCAAGACTTACAGGTATATTCCATAACCCATGGCAATTAGCAAATACAATAGAATTGATACCACGAATGGAAATTGAATGGAAATTATAATATTTTAATTAATGTGTTTATATTAATTTTAGATTCATAAAAAATTCTGAGTGTACATAAAGTCTATATGTATTACTTTATTAGTTGATGTGACCATATTTTAAATACATCCATCAAAATGATGACATGAATATTAACATTTTGTTATAATAAAATAAATTTTTTTCAACTTCTGTTAGTTTTTCACTAGAATTTTTTTTATTTCTTGAATCTCAGTCCATGACAAAGCATGCCATTTTGTAAGTTACTTTGTTTTGAACTGTTATCTTTTTCATTTCATTGTTTGTTCTCTTTCGACATTGGGCTGCATGGGTCAAAATAAAACAAAAAGATATTTCTTTAGTTTTAATATTAAAAAGTTTTGTTTCATGTTAGTGAAACAAAATAGTTTATATTGAAAGAAATTTACTTTAATAATGTGAGAGTAGAGAAATGGAGGAATACATATTCAGGGAAAAACATTATAAAAACTTGCTTGAAAGTCCTATTTTTGTAAGGATGATAGACTGTCTCTGTTTCTATTGTTTTCGTGACAGCTTGTAGTAGGATGCATGTTTTATCATGCAGACAGCACAGCGGGTAGGGCGTTCGCCTTACAAGCGGCCAACATGGCCGACCCGAGTTCGATTCCTCCGCCCCTCTCGGAGAGCCCGGCAAGCTACCGAGAGTATTCAATATGCCAGACACAGTAACAACAAAGTCTCCAATGGAGACGTTACTGGGCCCGCTCGAGCAAATCGACGATCAACGGGAGGGCCTTTACCTTTACCTTTACCTTTACCTGTTCTAGAAATATAATGGACATAATTATTAATTCATTCTTCATTAAATGAAAACATAGTAGAATATATGCATTGCTTTTATCAACATTGAGCATTTTAAAGCTCATTTAGTTTTTTCCGCTCATATCAAATAAATAAAAATTTATTTGAACATTAAACCTAATTGTTATATGTAAAAAATTTTAGAGCTTATGAATAGGCTTATATGCAAAAAATTTTTGATGTTTTCTCTGTTAGGTCCACTTGAGATGAGGATGCAATTATTCTTGAACTTGTGTTTGGAAATGAACTGAGAAGTTGCAATAGTTTTGTGGACAATTAAACAGCTTTATGTGGGTGATTATATTCAAGGTGATTATATTCAAGGCTATTCTCCTAAATAGCCTTGAATATAATCTCAGGGCAAGGATGAAAGAGACGTTACTGGGGCCTGCTCGAGGCAATCGACGAATAACAGGATGATGAAATGAATGAAATGAATGTGGGTGAGATGTCTGATTTCCTAAGTAAGAGACAATAGTAACGTTAACTAGTAAAGTCACAATAATGTAAATAACAATTTTGTATTTTCCAGGTAGGAAAATAATCTATAATAACTCTTATCATAATCCGTTGAGACCTTCAGGTGAGTAGTAAATAAACATCTCTATTTGCAAGAAAGAAATGTCAACAAATTTGAAACAGTTGTACCTGAGGAAGTTACGCTGAATCTAACATCACTGTCACTGTCCTCCTGTTGTTCATCGATTTGCTTGAGCGGGCCCAGTAACGCCCCCATAGTGAGACTTGTTACTGTGTTTGGCATATCAAATACGTCACAGGTAGCTTACCAGGCTTTGCTGTGCTGGCGAGATACTCTTGGTAGCTTGCTGGGCTCTCCGAGAGGGGCAGAGGAATCGAACTCGGGTCTGCCATGTTGGCTACGTGCAAGGCAAATGCCCTACCACTGTGCTATCGCTCCAGCCCTTGGACAAACATATATATAATATATAAACATTATATATAATATATACATATATAATACATATGCATTTATAATGCATATATGTAATATATACATATATAAACATGTAATATATATTCTTAACAAGTTATTAGTAAGTACTCAAGATTCAGTTGTATTCGATATTCTTCCTTACTATCTGATTTTGGATTTATGTCCCTTAACCTCTGTATATCCATTTGGAATCGAACTTAGTCATCCACTCTCTTAATTCCTTGCTTAGAAAGAAAATTCTTGCTCTTTTCTGGGTTGATCTAGGGGAAAGAACTGAGTGCTGAAATTGAGTATTTGTGTTTAAATACCAGATTGCCGTTTGTTACATCTTTTATTTAGTTGATATAACAGTTTAAGGGGTGATTTTTCTACAGGTAAATATGAAAAAACTAATAGCAATTGTTTAGTTTTTAAATATTGCTCAACATTTATATAACAGAGATTATTTAACTTCAAAATTGTTCATTTGCTAATAGTATTAGTATTGTAATATTTTATTTATATTTTTGAAATATAAATTTATTCAATACATGTATATGTCTTGTTTACATTTTTTTCATTTTCTTTTTTAAAATTTTTTTAATTTTTATTAGTGAGACACCATGGAGTACAGTTACAGACTTACAAACTTTTGTGCTTGGGTTTCAATTATACGATGATACCCATCCCTCCACCAGTGCCCATTTCCCACCACCACAAATCCCAGTATCCCTCCCATCCCCCATACCCACCATCCCACTCTGCCTCTGTGGCAGGGCATTCCCTTTTGTTCTCTCTCTCCTTTTGGGTGTTGAGGTTTGCAAAAGAGGCATTGAGTACTGTAATATGTTAAATGTAAAGCTGCATTCGCTGGAGCGATAGCACAGCAGTAATGTGTTTGCCTTGCATGTAGCCAGCACGGCCAAGCTGGTTTTGATTCCTCCGCCCTTCTCAGAGAGCCCCGCAAGCTACCGAGAGTATCTCGCCCTCGTGGCAAAGCCTGGCAAGCTACCCATGAAGTATGCAATATGCCAAACACAGTAACAACAAGTCTCACAATGGAGAAGTTATTGGGCCCGCTTGCACAAAATTGATGAACAAAGGGAGGACAGTGTTTGTTTGTTTGTTTTGATTGTATAAAAATATGTAACACATGCATACTTGTTATGTGTTCTGTACATAAAGAGAGCTCAGCATTTTGAAACAGAGATTCTTTTTCTCTGAACTAATTAATTTGAAAGTTTTATCCAAGAATTACCGGGGGTTTTTGGGATTTTAAAATCCCTCTAACACCTTCTTCCTTCTTTCTAGATAAGGCTGTCTCCTGATCAGGGACATCATGCATCTGGTGCCTATTGTTGCAAGGTGATACCTGTGAAGACAAATAAATGACTGCTCCTCAGAACTCGAATCTGGTTTCAGAGTCCCTTAAAACAACTTAGCATGATTAAGTCATCCTGTTTGGTGATTTAAATAAAATTGCCTTTCAACCTTATTGCAGGAAGTTTTGCTTCTCCTCAGAAGTTCTGTCTAATTATCTAAAGGATTTCATTATTTAGTAAGAACAATGTTCAAATCCTGCTTTTGTGATTTTAGTGATGCATGAAATAAAAAAGTAACATACGGATGATCAATCTTGTAGATGCCAATGATAAGAAATAGGTCTGAAGTAATGTTTTCATTCTTAAAATGCAGATTTTAGTGCTCAGTGTGTTTGCTCTGAGTATGCCGTGGGAAACCATGCAAAACCAAAGTTTTGTAACTGAGTTTGTTTTTCTTGGTCTTTCAAAGAATCCACAGGTTCAGAAAATTTTATTTGTTGTACTGCTGTGTGTCTACATCACAACTATCAGTGGCAACCTGCTGATAGTGGCAACCATCCGCAGCAGCCCTGCGCTCCTGGGATGCCCAATGTACTTCTTCCTGTCTTTCCTATCCTTCACTGATGCTTGCCATACCACTGTTGTTGCCCCCAGAATGATTATAGACTGTCTCTATGAAAAGAAAACCATCTCCTATAGAGCCTGTATGACACAGGTCTTCGCAGCACACTTCTTTGGTGGGGTAGAGTTGATAGTTCTTACTGCTATGGCTTTTGACCGGTATGTGGCCATCTGCAAACCTTTGCACTATACTACCATCATGAACTCAAGGCTCTGTGGCATTCTGATTGGAGTAGCGTGGGCAGGGGGCATTCTGCATTCCATTACACAAACTTCCATTGCTCTTCAACTACCCTTCTGTGGTCCCAATGTCATGGATAACTTTATGTGTGATGTGTACCCCTTAATGAAGATTGCCTGCACTGATACTTATGTCTTTGGTCTTTTGGTGGTGACCAACAGTGGTTTCTTTTGTATCCTGATCTTCTCCATTTTGCTTATGTCCTATGGGGTCATACTGTTCTCCCTGAGAAAACACAGCACAGAAGGACAGAGGAAAGCCCTGTCCACCTGTGGATCTCATATTACTGTTGTGATTTTGTTCTTTGTTCCATGTATAATTGAGTATGCACGGCCTCCATATGAATTATCTTTTGACAAAATATTGGAGGTATTCTACACTGTCTTAACTCCTTTACTCAATCCCTTGATTTATACTTTCAGAAATAAGGAAGTGAAAAGTGCCATGAAGAAACTTTGGAATAGATTAATGACTGTTTCCATTGATAAATAGAGTCTTATATTTTGAAAAAATAGAAGATACATTTAAAAGAATCAATTTTCTTGATAAATTATTCTATGTGGAAAGACTATTTTATAGAAGATCACATTATCCAATTAAAACTATAAATAAAGAGTCCAGGAAATATATTGCGCTCTTAATTCTCATATATATCCTAATAACTCTTATCCTAACAATTATGTGAAGAATTAATTTCTACTTTTATTTTGAATCTAATGATTGAAAAACAATAAAATCAAAGTAATATATTAATGATTGTTATTCTTTTATTATCAGATATATATGTGTGTGTGATTTTAATTTAGCAAAATACCTTACAATACTATAATGAGAATCTTCTAGAAAAACAACATTGTTGTCCTTTCCCATCATCAGAGTCTCAGCATCCCTCCACACTGTTAGTCTAGGTCCCTCTCTTCATGCTCCCAGACCTCCAATTAGCAAGCTCAGTTCTCCAGGGGGTTACTTATGGTCAGGAAACATTGATTATATTTTAATCCCCTTACGGGTTTTAATTGCACATATAAGAGGTCAATTCTTATCTTATCTCCATTATTTATTTTTATTTTTTGTGTTTTGTATCACACCCAGAATTGCACAGGGGTTACTCCTGGCTTATGCACTCAGGAGTTACTCCTGGCGGTGTTCGGGGGACCATATGGGATGCTGCGAATCGAACCCTGTCTGGTCGCATGCAAGGCAAATGCCCTCCCCACTGTGCTGTCACTTCATCTACTCTTATCTCCATTATTATGGGGTTGTTTGTTTTGTGCTAAGGTTGTAAGAAATCTATAAATCTTGTTACATTTCCTGGGGATTTGCAGTCACAGGTTTCCTGGTTCAGCTGGAGGCTAGAACACATTTCCAAGTCTGTCATCTAGTGTTGAGGGCCACAGCTGTGTTGTGTGGGCACCTACTGTGCTGGGAAACTGAAGTGCCCAGTTACCCAATCCGACTGGCATCTATGAAGTCTATGAAGGTTCTTGCATATACTATATAGCAGTGCAAGACCTGTGTAGTATCAGTAGTCTAATGTTCCAGAGTCTGAATGACTGTTTTTAATTGCACATATTAAACTCTGCCAGAGTTCAGTTGCATTTGAATACGTGCACCAGCTAGATACACAAAGGGTAGATGTCAGTATCAAATTTCCTTGACTTCAGAGTAGTTGCTAGGACTTAGTTCACTGTTTCTCTATGCCTTTTTCCGGGTGTCTAGTCTAGGTATTACTGGAACCATTGTCCATAGTCCAGGCTTCTGCACAGTTCCTCCCCTCAGACATCTGGGCACTTCAGTTGTGAAATATAGTTGGATGAAAGGGCCAGAGTTGATTCTGATTTGCTCCACATCAGATGCACTGATACTTCCCTGCAGTATTTCTTTTGTCCCTACAAGAGTTGTCAGTATAAACTCTGCACTGGGATTTGAGGAAGAAAGAGAAATGTTGAGTTAGTGCATTTAAGAAATACTAAACTGCCTACTGTTTCTCCACTCCCAGCTTGGACTGTCACTCCCTCCAGCTTTCATGACCTCTGTTATTTGCAGAGGTACTTCTGCTTGTACCTCTGCTCAGCCTCTGACAATTGTGCACCTGGACAAGGCTTGGTCTCAATAAAGCTCTCTCTCACTTTTCCATCTCCTTCCTGGAATGGGAACCTTAGTGTGGTCATTGATGGACTTTAAGCCACATTCCATGGACAAAGATGACCACTGGTTTCCCATGTTTGGTGTCTGTCTCAATGAACCCTATGCAATTTTTTTGTCTATTTTAATTTTTCTTGTTTTTCTGTGTTTTGTGGATGGGAACTCCCTCATTCTTCACTTCCTGTATCCAAGATTGATCCCACTTTCTATGTCATACCTAGAGTTTTTCATGCAATTTTTGGTGCATAAAAATTATTTGGTTACTAACAGATACTGTCTGTTGAGATATCAAAGGAATGTCAATATCCTTAAAAATAAATTTTTAAAAATTGGGGTAGATTTCAAGGAGAAGAATTAGAGAATCCATAAAAGTCTGCCCTGTTATAATAAAGGTTTGACATAAATAAAATATGAGACCTATTCATGACCATGTCAAACAAATACATAGTAAAAATGTAACTGTAACTTTCATTATCACCCCGTTGCTCATCCATTTGTTCGAGTGGGCATCAGTAAGGTCTCCATTAATCCCTGTCACATGAAAGTGTAGCCTAATGACATGTTGAGGGCTCTTTTAGGGTCAGGGGAATGAGGACCATCATTGTTACTGGTTTTGGCATATCGAGTATGCCACAGGTAGCTTGCCAGGCTCGCCATGCAGGTGGGATATTCTCGGTAGCTTGCTGGGCTCTCTGAGAGGGATGGAGGCTTTTGGAGCAGCCTCTAATCACCTTTCAGGTGTTCCCAGTCAGGCATATATGCTGGAAAGATACTCTCAGTAGCCTGCTGGGTTCTCTGAAAGTGAGAACTAGACGATAAAAGGTCGTGTGCTTCCTGTAGCTTGTTTTTATAGTCTCTGTATCTTGGCCATTGATGGGGCTATAAGGCAGTTGGTGGGCGTAACTGTCTAGCTGCTGTAAGATGGGGGAATCTGGGTGGATGAGGCCCAGTCCAAATCCGAGCAGGCTTGGAGGTCTCAGCTCCAGTTTCTGCAACCTGAGTTCCTCTGCTGGTTCTTTCATGTGTGAGGCTTGTCCTAGCATGTGGAGAGTGGTCTCAGCATGGCTGTGGCTGCGTCCCAGAGGTCTTCATTTAACAATGGAGTCAAAGTAGTTATTTAGTGATCAATAAATTACTTGTCAGAGAGATAAAAAATTATAGGACATTTCAACATGTTCCTTGTACATAGATTGGAAGACTATATTTCATTAAAATAATTACCTTATCAGATACTTTAAGGATCAGTGGAATGTGAATCAAAATCTCCATTGCACTCTACAAATACATAAAACAAATTGTTTTTAAAATATAATTAAGCCATTAAACATGAGGGACATCACATTATCTCACTTTCAACTATACTATAAAGGTAGAGGAAGCCAAAGGGTTCAGTGTGGGATAAAGATAGACTCTCAGATCTACTGTGCAGTCCAGATATAAACCAAAGATATATGAGATATCAATTCTCCATTTAAAAATAAAACTACTGCATCATTATTAATTATTGAATGTGATTTACAGTGCTGTGATTGATCATTTCATGTGTACATCGTTGCAACAACACAGCCATCAGCAGAGTATCCACTATCCAGATTATCCAAGGTTTTATAGGTTCCTGTCATTCAACCCTCTACTCCAGCCTACAAACTCAGTTCTGTGGTCCATGGTTACCCCTGTTCTTTTGTTGCTATTTTACTTGAATCTTTAAGTCCCACATATGAAAATGATGTACTATATTTATTCCTTTCCTTCTGATTTTTTCTCAGCCTGATATCCTTTGTCCATCTATCCTGCAGGAAATTGCATGACAAAGCTGCACAGTATTCCAACGTGTATATATTCCACAATGCCTTAATTCACTCATCATATAATGGGGCATTTGGCTATTATACTTAGTACTGTGAATGAATACATGCCAACAGAATCGTATGTTTTATGTATTATATACAACCAAGGATGCAATCATACTTTGATGCTTCTCTGCCAAAACCATTATTATAGAATATAAAAATATTTAAAGAGGTCACATGGTATAGGAGTCACCTTTTAATAACTGAGATGTGAAAAATAGGGCCCTTATCAGCGATGCCATTGCTCTTAGCCCTCAAATTAAAAGGAACACAGATTTCAATTTTAATAATGGAGTTAGAATAATTACAAAGTAAAGTTCTTGATAACTTATAGGTCAGGCACTAGTTTGTATCAAAAACTACTCCAAGCATAGCTCTTTTGATTCTACTTCGGGAGAACTGAATAGCTTCTCATCCTGTTTTCGTAGGGCCCAGGTCTCTGAGGCACATGTTAATGCAGGAAGAACAGTAGAATCAAAGAGATGTGACCGGAGCCAGAAGTTCTTCATCCTCTTTGCTATTTCTTTGATGCTCTTTAAGGGGTTCCAAGCCACTCTCTTCCTCCTGCACAACTCAGGTGCCAGGTCATTTGTCATGTTGACTTCTTGACCTAGCTACACATAACTGTTGCATTCAGAGATGTTTGTTCCGTTGAGAGCGAACGAAACATCAGGAAGAAAGCTGTTTCTAATAAACATTGTCTTTGTGAGATTCAGCTGTAGTCTGACCTTTCCACACTCACGTTAGAAGTCAGCCAGCATTTGTGCCGCTTGGTTAATGTTTGGTGTTATTAGAACAATGTCATCAGCAAAGCGAAGGTGGTGTAGTTGCTGACTGTCTATCTACAATCCCATTCCTTTCCATTGTAGTCATCACTTTCTCCCCACTCCATGAAGTAGAATTTTGCACGAAGGAGATGGTGGTTCGATCCTGTTTTGAATTTTGGGACAACAGTGACATCGGTTAGGCAAAAGCAAAACTGTCGATTGATTATGATGTAGTCAATTTTGTTGTCGAACCCTCCATCTGGAGACTGCCACGTCCAACATTTAGATTCAGCCTTCTGGAACTGTGAGTTACCATGGATGGTCTTGGTCAACATGATGAACTGAGATAGTCTCTCACCATTACATAACATGACACTCACCATTATCATGCCACCTGACCCCATGCTAGGCTGTTCCACATGGGCCAACCTAGAGGGGATGAGACTGGTCTCTCCCCACCCCAAGGAACCCAGTTCCGGCAGCCAAAAACCTCGAGAGCTCAACTGAAGCCATGCTCTCAGCCACTCTGCACATGTATAGGCCGAAACTCACCCATGAGTGAACTTATTCCTCGACCTTGTATCTGTAATACTTGATAGGACACACCCTACCCATATTCCATGAGTATCACATCACATTTGATGGGGTCCAAAGTAGTAGGCAATCACTCTTAGAGGGAAAAAAATATATGTATTTATTATATATTATGTATATATGTACACATCATGAT